CCCCGTATATTTGTAAGTATTATGAAATTAGAAATATATAGTTAATTTATTATCTGCAATAATTTAAGCAAATTAAAATAAATAACATGACCTAATCTTGATCAGGTAAATGTGTATGAAACTTGTGATACTGGACACGATCAAAGATAATTTGTCTTTAGAAAAAAAAAACATAGTTCCAAAATGTCATGATTTCCCAAGATCTGATATCCCTTTTTTCAGCAAGATTATAATTCAAACAAGAGATAATTGTTGTATTTCTATGGTACTAATACAATGAACTTTTTGGTTGAGGAGCATGCTTCATATTTTAACAAAGCAAAAAATACAATGAGTTTTGCTAAATCGGCAAGGTTTATATTATTATTCAAGTTTTTGAAAAAAATATTTTCGTTATATTGGATAAAAAAAACATTTAAAATGGTATGTCAAATGAGTTGTGTAGGAACTCCGTACAACATGAATGTGTAGTAAACCTAGAAATACCCTAGGCCTACTTCTTCATAAACATACCAATAGTTCAGAAATGATTAAGAAAAAAATATAGTCATCTTCATTTATGATATTGGAAGTAACATAATTGTTAGAATAAGAAATAAGGACTAATGGATGTTTTTCTTAGTTACTTATAATTACTCGTGTTCACAATTCTACTTTCTGGCCATTTAGAAGACTTCATTTCTGGTAAATTAGATTTTTTGTTGTTCTCTTCGTGTGACCTATAGGTCACAGATTCCCGTGGAATCAGTTAATTAGAGTGGCTGTCTACATCATATTCTTTGGGTACGGTCTTCCCCGGACCCTATGTGAAAACGGAATACCTTGTACACTAGGTTGCCTGCCCTAGATCTTTTACTATATGTTTTAAAGCGTCTTTTGGATTTTCTTTTTCATTTACAATTATAGAGTTTTCAATTTTTCCTTCTTATAATAGGTTCGAGGAAAATGACTATTGCTTTTCCTTTTTTTATATTTTTTTTTATGTTTTGGTATAATTGTTGAAGCATGATGCAAACACTTGAAAAGTATCAACAGTGCAGCTACGCCTCTTTGGACCCGATGCAATCAGCTAGTAATCATACTCAGGTAGTATTTGCCTACTTTATCTCGTATATATATATATGGTATGATGTGTATAATTTGATCGTAGGCTATATATCAAGAATATTACTATTATTACTTGTTTGTTTATATATATGCATTATAAGTTTCTAGGTAAACATTTCCTATTTTACATGGGGGGGTTTTAAAAATCATGGTATTCGGACCAGTATGTGCGAACCGACTAATTTCACGAATACCTACTACCTTCCATCAGCACAAATATCAAATAACTATGTCCACTAAAATTTGGACAAATGAAAAAAATATCACCTAAAGCTTTCATCTCCTCTAAAATTTCAATTCTACATTCCTTTCTAGCATATCGAAATGATAGTGATTTGGACAATACCATGAGAAAGAATGCCATGAAGTCTTGGATATTAAATATTTTACACTTGGTTTTACCTTACAGAGTGATCTCTGATTATGTTCGGTAAATACTATGTTTGCGACTGGTGGCATATAGTGGAACTAATTAAAAGCACAATTTTCCCTTCTATCAACACATTTCAGAAATCATTTGTCCATTCATTTCCTAGTAATAATAGTGTATTTGGATCCAATTCAGACGCATCTCAACTATTTTATTAGGTGTAGCTACCTTCTAGTTAATCTAGGTATCGTTAATTCTGCTCATTAGACCTTATGCTAATGATAACAGATCACTTGGTACGTTTTGGCTCCATTGAGATTTGAATTTCAGTCTCTCGTGATGATTAACTATTTTATTAAAACAGCTAAATCATATAATTAATTGAATAAATATACGTTCTGTCTAATTATTTAAACTTTTAAATGAAATTATGGTACAATTCAACAAACCAATTTAAATTCATAGTCATCACACTCATCAATATAAATGGCGGCTAACACCTCGCTATAATGGGAATCATCAATTGCTTACAAAATTTTCATGTTTCAGAGCGCAATACTATCTGCATTTTATATTTATAATTGTGTTCCGAGCAAATTAGGATGGTGTCTCTCGGAATTTCTGTTGCTCGAATTTTTCAAAAACGACGTTGCTTTCATGTCGAATTCTTCAAAAATGCATTATTATTTTTTAAGGATACGACAAGGGTACAGTAATATTTTTGAAGGATTGAATCAACATAGCTAAATAGCTTTTGCTTTAGATATACTATATGCATTTCTTCAAAAAAAATTTAAGATGCAGTTCTTCATTCATCTTTACATTGTGACAAATTTAAATGGCATTATTTTTCGACAGAGCAACTACCATGAGTATCTGAGGCTAAAAGCTAGAGTTGAGCTCCTTCAACGATCTCAGAGGTAAGTTATTAGCTAAACATCCTTTGACGCCCATATAAAAAGGATTATAATTTCAAAAATAAGAATAACTTTTAATCCAAAGCTCAGATTAAAGTTACCGATGACTCGATCACTTGAGAAAAATTCCAGAAATGAACAAAAAGTAAATGCTTAAACAAGTGGAAAGAAATTTAGCGAAACTCGATCATTTCGAATAATGATATTGTACAATAGGACACAAATAAAATTTTTCATAATATATATGATGTTGAATCCCTTCGACCTTAATAGAAGATTCTAATGTTTTGACAAAAGTTTTCAAAATTTTCTTTAATTTAGGTCACAAGTTTAGATCCCAAGGTGACACTTTAGTATTTTGTTTTTCCAATCACCTTATATAAATTTTTGACTCGGCCACTTTCTTCAACACAATAGATATATGTTCAATTATCACTACCATCCCTTTAACCACCTTTTTTTCTACTTCTTTTTCAGATGTATTATTATAATTTGACATACATGTTACTATCGCTTCAGTGAATTAATTCTAGCTTTTACATAAGTTTTCTCCTGGATTAGTTCCCTGTGAAAAATATTGTACTTTTGATATTCCTCTATATATCAATTTAATAGAAATCTTCTTGGGGAGGATTTGGGCACACTAAATTCGAAGGAACTTGATCATCTTGAGCACCAATTGGAGTCATCCTTGAAGCAAATCAGGTCAAGGAAGGTAACTAAATTTACATTTAACTTTAATTCCAATAGTATTATTTAATTTCAATATGGGATATGATTTGATGTTACTTCCAAGTGAAAATTTTAGTTTCATACAATATAATTCTCATAAGTTTTGGTGATGACCATCGGGGGTAGCATTAAAGCTATGGGTTTAATTGAAACCTTAACTTTCGTTGCGGAGCATAAATTTATATGTAAAATCTATTACTGTTGCAACAAAATAGTATACATATGAACTCGTAACTTTAAAAATATAATATTTTTATTGTTAAGAATCTTAAAAGGTTAAATTCATATAATTTAAATTTTTGATCCACCTCTGATAACCATGACGATTTTGTTGTTTTTCTTAAATATTTACTACTTTGATTTATCGTAATGTTCCCTCGTGGTTGGGGCAATGAGTATTATTTCCCTATATGATCTTGAGCAACTTTTTTTTTATTATTGTGTAGTGGTACGAAATTGTTTAGTAGACCATTCAAATTGCTAAGTTTAGGCTAGATACCTCACATAAGACTTAAATGATGTAAGGATTTAACTTATACGAGCCTAAAGATACTGTTTGCACTAACAATGTAATTTAATTTGTTATAGCTAGTATGTATGCTTTATTTTTTAGGTAACTTTTTCTACTAATTATCGATAACTACCTATAGTTATCTTTTAGGTGACGTGATTGTGAAAAAATTCATTTACACTAATGCATTTTCCAACAACCAATTTTATGTATTTGCAGACTCAAAACATGCTGGATCAGCTCGCAGACCTTCAGCAAAAGGTACACCTTAGCATTACAAAATCCATTCGTCTTATCAAAAGGAAATCCAAGATCTAATATATAAAAGTTTCTAATTAATATGGCTGTAACTTCGTTAGGAGCAAATGATGGCTGAAGCAAATAAACAACTCAAAAGGAAGGTATGAAAATCATCTAATAGAACAATTTTTTTGTTTTAAGTTTTATTGTTTGTCAACTTTATGTTTGACAAGAGGGGTTGTTCATATGGTCGAACACCCCCACCTACAACCCTAGAGTTATGGGTTCGAGTTATCAAATAAGTAATAGCTCCAACAAAGGGGATCAAAAGGGAGTGAAATAAATTTTTAAAAAAATATATTCTAGTCATCATTTTTTGTCATGTTTTTCAGTTGGAAGAAAGTGCAGCTCGAATTCCAATTCGATTGTCATGGGATAATGGAGGACAAACAATGCAACATAATCGTCAGCTCCCTCCACAAACTGAGGGATTCTTTCAACCTCTAGGATTGAATTCATCTCCTCAATTTGGGTAATTCTTTTAAACATTTTGCATAGTCGGATCCCCTTCACTAGGTCAGGAATAAGGTCTGCGTACACACTACTCACTTCAGACATCACTTGTGAGATTATACTAAGTTTGTTGTTGTTGCATTTTACGGAGTCGGATCCATGATTTAGTGCATTGAGTGCACCTAGTTGTTGTTGTTGTCTTACTTTTTTCATTTTACACATACATATATATAGTCCAAGTCAGTTTGGGAGGTAAGATTTCCGCTAGGGGTTCAAAAAAGAAAAAGTTAAAAAATTAAAAAAGACTATGGCCAGTGAGAATTGAGCCAGCAACCTTACAAAGATTTGAACTTCCTTGACTACTAAGCTATGTTTTTGGACTGTGTTAAGAAGATTCAAAATATAATATATAGAGGCACAAGTATTTTGACTTATAAGTACAGTGTTATTTTCGGCAAAGGGAGTTAGGGCGAACCCTCTTCCGCCCCCTGGTTCCCGGTCCGGACAGTAAATGCACGTGCATCCACTGTTCATATGCTAGAGCGATCTCTTTCTAGTAATAATTAGCATTGTTCTGAATTTTCTACTTATTATAATACGCTTAATTTTTATTTTTTTGGGGAAATTTAATCCCATGCAGATATAGTCCCATGGGTGGAAACGAGGTTAATGCAGCAGCAACTGCTAACAATATGAATGGATTTATTCCGGGATGGATGTTGTAATAATATAATCAGTTATCCATTTTTCTACTTGTATGAACTAATACGACGATGATGTTAATTTCTGTATTCTCGTTTTGCTGTGGCAAATCTGTATTTAGCAACTTGTAATTATTGTTGAAGCAGAGAGGACAATAATGTAAGTCATAAGTTGTTACAAAAGTAACAACTTCTGATGATCCCATCTGTACTATGCAAAAACATCTGTATCCTTTGTAATTTAACGGAATTATGGTACTTTGGTATCTGGGAATTGATGATTTGCCAAGTATTTAAGTGGAGGACAGCAGAGGGATAACTCCGTTGGCCACCGAATTCTAAAATGTGGCCCGTCGATCATCACGGATTTCTCGAGAGGGGGTGGGGGTTCATGTGGGGAGGAAAGACGATATATGTGATTTTTTCAAGGCTTCACATGAGTTTTTTGTGTGTAAACTCGCGAGTGTCACCTTGTCAAAAGTGATATCTTAGACACACTTTTGAAACTTTGGATGTGTAAAAGATTCCATGAGCGAGAGGTGTGTAACAGAAATTTCGCTGCAAGGTTGATGAGTAAACTATTTATTGTGCCTATTAAAAACTATGCATTGCTAATGCCATTGTTTGCTACGTATAAGAATAATATTGGATAAAGTGTATAACTAATAGTAGTAGTTATAGGTTGAAAAACACTACTACTAAACAAGAGAATAATAATACCAAAGCTAATACATATATAATTTTTCCCGTATATCCTACCAAACGACCCTCTTAGTGTAGTTTTTTTTTAAGGAAGAGAAGAAAAGACTAATTAAATCTGAAATTTTGGATAGTTGAATTTGATCTCCTATTAGTATTTGAACAACCGACAAAAGATCAGAACTTCCTAAGAATATATACTTATCGTTGTGAGATCTAGTTGGTTTGGATCTACTTCATGAAAAAAGAAAGATTCTTAAAGTGATGTTTTGTCTGAGCCTTGTGCTTTGTTTCTCAATTGTTGCATAGAAGCCCTTGAATTATGAACTATTTTCTCATTACTGCTCACAATAGAAGATCAAAAGATGAATCAGTACCATGTTTTAACTCACCTGTATTTGGATCAAAGTAACTACCAAAACAGTTAGCAAAAGAAGCTAACTAGTATAAAATTGACAAGGGCAAAAGTATAAACTTATTCTTGGTAAGCATCACGCTTCATCTTCTTTCTTTTCTTTTTTTCTTACAAAGGAGGTGTGTATTCAGCTTGAATGTACCTCGACTATTGCACTATCTATTTGCACATTTCTACTAGTAGGTAGTAGGTATTGCAAATAAGAAAAAATTAGGCAACTTACACATTTTGCCGATCGGCCACATCTGCTAGCTAAATATACAAAAAATATGTATAAATATGTATATTATACATATATACAATAATATATGTATATTTTACCGACTATTATTTTTTGGAGCGGTTATACTGTATAGTTTTTCCGAGAAAAATTATCTAGTATTGTCTTTGTTTTTGCTAGAATTTGAACTCAACTCTCCCAAAAGTTGTATACATTTTTCAAAAGTGGGAGTACCTAATTTTTCTTTGTGTGTCTCATGACTAAACTCTCTTTTTTTTTGTTGGTAAACTCGATATACTTAATATATTAAAGGCGTTCGTCACAAAATTACATCATTAGTAAGGGAATGTGAGTTCTCTTGAGTAGTAGCATTAACAGAAAATGTATCAATATTACAAATATTTATCTTCCTTTTGAAAACAGTTCCTAAGATGTATGCCCACGCTGCTTCGTTAGCAAATATCGAAGGAACTGCCAAAAATTGTGTTCTTTCGAACCTTCCCTTCTTAGCTCCTTCCTTAGCGAGGAGATCCGCCACTTGGTTTTGTTCCCTGTAGTTATGCCCTATGGCTGGATTCCCCAGCTGCTCCATTATTGACCTGCAATCATAGATTGTGGGATTGTGAGTCAAGTTACCATTTCTTATCATATTTATTATCTCTGTGGAGTCTGTATCTATCACTAGAGGGGTAAGCATTTGATCAATAGAAATTCTTAAGTCCTGCCATAGAGCTTGAAGCTCAACTTTAATGCTACTTGTGTGGGGTATCCCTTTCATGTAGCCCATAACCATGCCACCTCTATTATTCCTAAAGACACCATATATTCCCCCTTGCCCTCACAAGCAGCTCCATCAATGTTAAGCTGGAAAGTCCCAGCCTCGGGTGGTTGCCACTTGAGGTGGAGGATTACTTTTTCATGATTTGGTTTTTGACTAGCAGCTACATGACAGCACTCAACTGTCAGTAATTATTTGATGGATAGAGGTGTGGGTATTTCTCTTCTCGAACACGTTGGTGTTTTTAGTTTTTCAGATGATCCAAAAACATAATGGGAGTAGCATCTTTTAATTAATACAAGCATCGAAGGGCACATGTTGGAGCCTATGCCAAGTATCCTCCCAGTTTTGCATAGTGAAGGCAATATGTGAAATGGATTGACTGTTAGTGCTAGTCATTACCAAGTTGAGCAAAATACCTTGGCATTAGGACACTCAAAGAAGATGTAGTTGATGTCTTCCTCGTGTACTCCACAGTAGGAGCAATTTGGGTTAATATTCAGCCCAATGTGATGGAGGTAACTTCCAGTGGGAAGTCTATCCACAGTAGGAGCAATTTGGGTTAATATCCAGCCCAATGTGATGGAGGTAACTTCCAATGAGAAGTATGCATTAGCCATGTGAAGAACTTGATCTTATTTGGAACCTTCAGTTTCCATATCCAGTCATAGAGGTCTTCTTGACCAGGATTGCTGGTGAAGTTAGAGGCAATGAAATTATAGGCTGACCTAGAGGAGAACATTCCGGTGGGTGTGAGGTTCCAGATTATATTATCATTGGCCCTTGTATTAAGAAGGATGAAAGTTCTTTGGATAATGGTAGAGATATCATGGGGAATGGGGTAGCTGATTGAGTTGAGGTCCCAGATCCCATTACAGTGCACAGTATTGACTTTTATGTTCAAGTCAGTCAGTTGCCAAGGCCCTCTTAGGATAGAATTAAGAGGTTGCAAATTGGGTAACCAACTATTCGCCGGAAAGTTTATCATGTCCCATTTGTGGACAATCCACCTGGAAGCTTTAATGCACACTTTCCAACCCTCTTGAATGCATTATCAGAATCTAGTCTTGGGCTTTTCCCTGTTACCAGTCCCACTACAGTGCATACCCATGAGCATTCTAGCCCAAATGGAATTGGTGTTATTGTACATTCCTCATGCTAGGCTAGTATGGCAAGTTTTATTCTTCATATGGACTTGTTGCAAACCCAGGGCCCCCCATGTTCTTTGGTTCTGTGATAGTGTCACAATTTACCATGTGAAGTTTCCTTTTTTCAGCATTAGTGCCCCAACTAAAATCCCTTCGCACTTTATCAATCTGGTTAGTTATTTTAGAGGGCAACTTAATATATTACATTACTTGGCTGGGGATGCTACTCAGACTAGATTTAGCTAGAGTAGTATGGCCAGCCATGTTGAGAAACTTTATTTTTCAACATGTCAGCGTGGTGTTAAGGTTGTCCAAGATGAATTAGAAGGCACTACCTATGGGCCTTTTGTGAAAAATGAGAAAGCTAAGGTAATTGCTAAAGGCTGAGCCAGTCTTGATGCCCAGAGTTGAGCTGTACTGACTAGCCCAATCCTCTTTACAGTTGGCAGAGAAAATCACCTTAGACTTAAGGAAGTTGACCTTTTGACCAGAGGAATTGTTGAATTTTCCTAGTGCACTTAAAATAGTATGGAAGTTCTTATTGTTTGCCCTAGCAAAAAGAGTGAGATCATCAGCAAAAAACAGTGAGAGATCTTAGGTCCACTCCTGCTGATGCTGCTTGGGAACCAGGAGTTGTTCCTAATAGCCTTTTCTATATTCCTATAGAGCATTTTCATGCAAATGATGAAGAGGTGGGGGAGATAGGATCACCTGCCTAATACCCCTAGTTGGGTTGAAAAAATTAGTCTGGTCTCCATTTACTATGACATATATGGAACTGGTAGTGATGCAAGACATAATGAGGGTGACTAGTCTACTTGAAAAATTAAAGAATAGTAGGGAGTCTCTGATGAAAGACCATTCCAGTGTATCAAATGCTTTCTCTAGGTCTACTTTTAAGATAATGTTAGCATTTTTCCCCTTCATTTTCTGAAAGTGATTTATGTACTCCTGAACCATTATGGCATTATTAGCAGCTCTTCTGTTGGATAGGAAATTGGGTTGAGTTGGGCTAATGATATTGTTAGGGACGGGCTTGATTCTGTTGACAATGATCTTAGTGACTAGCTTGTACATGGTGTTGCACAATATCTCTTAAATTCTCAAAGAACATATAGCAAAGTACATTTCATAACTTTCGGAAAATAACACTTTATAGTTTCGACCATAATAATAACACAAATTTGATATCCCGTCCTGCGAACTAAACATGCGTATACATATATATATATACATATATACACACATATANCTATTGGAAATATTACCACCATAAGATAGGGGTAACGTCTTACACTATCCTCCCCAGATATTACCTGTGAAAATATACTAGATATGTTGTTATATAACTTTCATAACATGCAAAAATCTAAATTCATTTAACTATTCAATGTGATGTTTTCTTTATTAAAAACTTTCAATTGTCTTAGTTATTTTGTTCGCTAACATTAATATAATACATGATTAAATAAATATATTTGCACCATGTGGGCATTCATACACTGTCATGTGATGAAAAAAGTATTTTCCATTTACCTTTCATTATATTTCGAATGAAATGAGAAAACAATTGAGTTTTTTGATTGTTTATATTGCAAGTTTCTCTTTTACTTTTTGTGATTGGAAAACAAAGTAAAGGGATTAAAGCCAATCTACCATCTATAACTTGCCAGAGGGAGAAATCACAGAGTCACATCACCAACCTCCCCCCCACCNTAAATTCAAATATACAGAGTTGTAACAGAAGGTGATTTTTCTGCATACGATAAGACCATATTGAGATTTAAAATTGCTCAAGTTTATCCTGCATTTGGTTGGGTTTCCTGATCCAATCTGACAAATGTGGTTTTGCTGAAAAATTGTTGATTTCAATTCTTTAGCTTGAATTGAGTGAAGGGTCATAATTGGATTCTTGATTTGGGGTTCAAAGATTTGAACTTTTTATCAATCCCTCAGCTGCTTTTGAATTCATGAATTGAGTGGCGGGTGATCTTGAATTCTTGATTTGGGGGGTTCAAAGATTTGAATTGGGTGACAGGACATCTTGAATTCTTGATTTGGGGGGTTCAAAAATTTGAACTTTATTAATTGGTTAGCTGCTTTGGATCAATCTGATAGATTTGTTATTTTCAAATTACTGTTTTGGAGGTGAATTGTGGAAGAGAGTGGTAAAAGATGCGACGGCGGGCGGCCGAATATCGGCGCCCGGTTCGAAGGAAGCTCTCTTGTTGGATCTGTTCACTTCTTGGGATATTCTTAATTGCAGGTTTTGTATTGTTTGTAGTTCATCATCACCATGACCGCGAGGATCACGTAGAACAGCCTATTTTGGTAAGCCTACAATCATACTCAGATCATAATTTGGTTCTTGAAATATCTTTATATTATAAAAGCTCAATGTACTTTCAGTTCAATAATGTATGTTCTCTTATACACAAAAGTTCAGCCCGGTGCACTAAGCTCCCGCTATGCGCAGGGTCCGGAGAAGGGCCGAACCATAAGGGTCTATCATACGCAGCCTTACCCTGCATTTCTGCAAGAGGCTGTTTCCACGGCTCGAACCCGTTACCTTCTGGTCACATGGCAACAACTTTACAAGTTACACCAAGGCTCCCCTTCATGTTCTCTTATACACAGCATATTATTATTGTTGCATTGTTTAATTTGAAGTCATAGCCGACCTCTTGAATTGAGGTTTAGTTGATTGATTGTTCAATCTGAACTCATGGATAAGACAATCTTTATCTGCTTTAAGATATGAAGGACAATTGATTTACTAGCTAGTTCTAGAATGGTGCTAAGGCAGTTCTTTTTCAATGCATTGACATCAATCTGTTTATATTTTGATTCTTCCAATTGATACTTGTTAACTTTAGATTTGACACTGATGGCTTTTGATCCTAGTTGTTTATGACTTCACCGCTAGTCTGAAGTTGCTAGGAGCATTTTACCTTGGAGTTTTGTCTCTTGTTAGCTTAGCCAAAATTTGAAACAAGTAGCTGTGCAATGGGTTAGATTTATCTGTTTGTTTGATAGCTTTCTGCCAGAGAGTTTCATTTAGTTTGTTCAGAGAGATATAGTCTATCTTGATTAAAAAATTTAGTTGCATATGCAGAGGATAGAAAAACATGACCTGGGAGGCGTTCAACCTGTGTTTGTTAAATTTGTACTTGGTCCCGTATGTTCATTGTATACCGAAATCAAAGTCTTTTGGATTGATTAGTTTTTTTTTTTTTTGAGTGTCTATGTGTGTGTATTTTTTAATTGATCTACGTTAAGAGATGTAAAAATATACTTCATCAGGAAAAGAGATGTAAAATTGTATCAGTCGTGTATCTATAATTGCTATCTGTTGGAGGGGGAGAGAGGAAGAGTGAGGTTATACATCTTATTTCTCTGTTTGTATTCTATCAAATAGATGAAAGAAATGAAAAACGAGAGATTCCACACTCCTACACACTACAGGGTGAAGAAAAATGATGTGTCAGAGTTTTCAGAATTCCAATGGGTTGACGGATTATACGTTTTTTGTCAGACTGATACAATGTTATTGGACTCAAAAATCTGTTTCAGTAGTTGAGATCTCTAATACAAGTTTGTAGTGACAGACTGAAAAATCTCCCTAAAAACTTGAGAACCTTGTCACTTTTGAAGTCAATAAATGTTTGTAGTGTCGTGGGGAGAGACGAAGTTGAGGTTCTTATGTCTTCTTATTTTTTTGGTTGGAGATGTTGTGCTTCATGTTTACTTCAAACAAAAATAAGGGCAGCTTCAGCAACATAAATTGTCATTGAACC